CAACAGGGCCTCCTGAGAAGCCCAGGCGGCAGTATGATGACCCCTTTTAAAATCTACTGCCCTCCTCTTTACCAGAGAATGTTGTTTGAGTCTGTTCTGGCAGCTATATCAATATAATGTTCTAGGCGGCTCATCTACAATAGGATTTCACTTTTCATGGCTCTCAAGGCTGGGGAATCCAAGACTGAGGCTCCCAAAGAGTCAGTGTCTAGTGAGGGCGTCTTCCTAGTTCACAGACAGCTGTATTCGCTCCCTGTGTCCTCATGAAGCAGATGGAGCAAGAGAGCTCTCTGGGATCTCTTTTATAAGGGCACTAATTCCATTCATGAGGGCTCTGCAGTAACAACCTAATCATTTTCCTGAGGCCCCATCTCCTAATACTATCATTTGGGGGGTTAGGATTTCAAGATTTCAAGTATTGGGGGGAAAACATTCAGTCTAAAGCAGGTATCATCAAATAATTCAGCATGTCAGAGTCAAAACCATATTAGAGTGCATCCCAGGCACTGCACCCACGAAGACATGCCACCACCTGCTTAGGCAGTGCCACTTTTGAATGTACAACCTCATTAAAGGTCTAAGTGGGTTTTAAAAGTCATCCAGTTTAGAGGAAATATTTTAAAGAATATTTCCAAACATGGTAAATCATTTTTTAAAAAGCACATAGCTAAAAACAAGGAGATTCATGGTGTGCTTGAATAAAGTAAATATTTCAAGCCCTTCACTGGGATATGGCATTAAGTCTTTAAAGAAGTAGGTAAGCAAATTTAACATTTCATTGTGAAAACTCCAGACTAAGACGTTTGCTCTCATCTGGTTCTAGGTTGCCTACATTTAATCAAGTTATTTGCCTAAATTCAGCCTCTTTTCCCAACGTCCTTCTTAGCATTTTCTATCTTCTTTGCCTCTATTTATTGCTCATTCCTGGCCCTTCATTCATTGCTTGTTATGTGTTCCAGAACAGTATTTCCTGCCTGCAATGCTTTTTGGAACAGAGTCCTTCTGGGACCATTACTATCCAGAAGCACATAGTTATACCAAAATGGTGTTTGTTCAATGAAAAATGAATTCTCCTACCCATGTTATTCATAAAATTGTCTAAAGTGTTTTTTTTTAAATCATGCATATAGTCCCATAAGGGGTTAATAAAATGGACTCACAAGGAAGAAGAATTATATTACCTAAGCAAATGTAGAATCTAAAAATAGGGCACATTCTAACAATAGATTGTACCAGATGGCCTACCAATAATATCGAACTCTCTGTCTTCTCACCTTTTCATCATAAGAAACAATGAATAAACAATCTTTAAAATTGCTTATAATCAATAGGGGGAAACAGAATCAAAGAAAGGGGGACAATCAATGTTTTTTGTGGAATGACTTTTAGACTTCATGAGATTAAAGTGAGAGTTGACAATAAAAGCACTTTTCCCATGTCAGAGCTGACTGCTCAGAGGGCTAAGAAATGACAGATTGTGGAAACAGTCTAGGAAAAAAAAATTAAATCTTAACTCCTTAAATTGTTAGCAGTATGAAAATGTATTTGAAATGACCATATTTCAGATCATAGCTGATTTGGAGTATTTGTGACCAAGGTCTTACTATGTCTTCTTCTTTGGTGTAATATATGTTTCTATGCTTTTTATTGGTAATTTCTTTGAGTGATTGATTAATTGATTGATTACCTTCCAGAATTTTACAAATAAACATTGGTTTTCCTCACAGATTCTATGGCTCAAGAATCTGGATGCAGCTTAGCTGGATATCTCTGGCTCAGGGTCTCTCACAGATTGTAATCAATAACCACCAAGACTGCCCAAGCAAGGAATTAATTTTAAAAGAGAAAGCAATCACCAGAAGATTAATTAGTGCACTTTAAAAAACTATAATATAAAGAGAAAAGGTGAATGGCATTTCTAAATGAGCAGTATTATCTCATTATAAAATTGAAAAGAGTATTAAGAATATTTTAAACTGATTCTCAGTACACAGTTGACTCTGAGTAATGCACCTTCATCTAGCACATCCTGGCACTAGATACCTAATCAACAGACTAGACTCCAGGCTCCTGATCAGCTACCTGGCACTGCCTTGAACTCTGAATAATTAGAAGAAAGCCAATATGGGTAGTCATGAATAAGATGTTTAAAAGTTGTCTTACAGGCAGCCTAAAAGCTCAAATAATGATAACTCCTGATATTTACTGTTTCATTCTATAATGTGGGAAATCTCAGTGGCTGGGATAATGCCACTTATTAAAAATAACCACTCTGGTACAGTTTGAATGTTTGTATCTCTTCTGAAATTCATGTTGAAGCTTGATCACCAATGAAGTAGTATTGAGGGAAGGCCTGTAGGTGTTCCTGAGGACTCCTCCTTTGTGAACAAGGTATAGGCTTTTATTTAAAAAAAAAAAAGGCTTCACACATCATTCAGCTTTTGCCCTTCCATCCTCTCTTCCATGTAAGAACATGGCCTTCAAGGCACCATCCTGGAAGCAGATACAGGGTCCTCACCAGACACCAAACCTGCTAGCACCTACATCTTGGGCTACCCACCCTCTAGAACTGTGAGAGTCTGTATTATAACAACACAAACAGATGAAGACACCCTCCTTCTGTCACTCATTTTCTTTCAGACCTAACCCTATTCACTTTTGCTTCTTCTCTGCAGTCAGAATTGGGAGGAAAAAAGAACATTAGCAGTAATATCTTCCCAAGATCACCTGCATTTAAATCTAATTGCTTAGTTCTCACGCCTGACTTCTAAGAAAAATGGGAGACTGACTTTTCTTTTCAAAGAAAAGTAAAAAATTATCCATTTATCTGGATAATTTTGGCCATTATTACAGATAACTATGACCTCATCACACATGGACTTTCCATTTTAAGTTTTTGTGGAAATGATCCTTTATCAAATATATTACTTCTCATCAAAGCTAAGCCATATTAAAATCAATAATAGCTAACTATGTCCCACTTACATTGGGACATAGTTCTATGGTTATTTTTAAATTGATTACTTCTCATTCACTTATTTTTTTAATTCATTCAGGAAATATTTACTGATGACCTCTTTATGCCAGAAATTGTCCAAGGTCCAGTGTACAAGGATCAGTATCTCCCTATAGCCTGAAAAGTTCACAGTCTTAGCAAAAGCATCTTGCTTTTACTCAAAAGAGGGTTAAAAAAATGCTGGGCATGGTGGTACATGACTGAAATCCCAGCAACTGGGGAGGCGGAGGCAGGAGGATCACAAGTTCAAGGCCAGCCTCAGCAACTTAGCCAAGCCCTAAACAACTTAGTGAGAACCTGTCTAAAAGAAAAGGGGTGAGGAGTTTACTGGTATTGTTGCTTGGTGGTTAAACACCCCTGGGTTTAATCCCAGTACCAAAAGGGTGAGGGGAGAGAAAAAAAAAAAGGAAGAGAAGGGTTGGGGAGGGAGGGAAGAAAAAAGAGAGAAAGAAAGAAAAAGGAGATATTTTCAGGCCAGAAAATAGAAATCATCCTCAAAATTTTTACCTGTGAGTAAGATAGTAAAAGTTATCAAAGCAGACTTTGATGATGTGGTACATTCTTAAGAATAAGCAGAAGAGGCACAGGAATGAGCCTATTTCCTATAGGTACCCACTCCCGTGTCTATACAGGTCTGTAAAATCATCCAAGGGATCTTTTCAAGAAACAGTAGGAGCTCTTCTTTCTGTAAAGTTTTACATGTGGTTATAACTGTGGTGCTATCTGAAAGCCAGAAAAACATGTTTATAAAACTAGTTTTGATAAGTTCTGTGCTCCAAACCAATGATCATCTGAAGGTATCCTTTGGGCCTTCCATTTGTTTGGGGTGTTACCCAGACCACTCATATATTCAGCAAATCACCAAAAAGATTCATCCAAGATACACAGCAAAAACATACACAACAGGATCTGACACTCCCATGAATATGTTCCCTTCTGTACTAGCAAAAATGTGTGGTAATACCTCCTTCATCTCCAACCTACTGTGGTTCTACTTAGGATTTTTTAATGGTTATGATGGTGTAAAAGCAATAGAACCTTCATATAAAATATACATTTAATTTTGTATTTTGTTCCTTTCCTGAGCCAATAATACATGGCACAATATACACCCTGGTGAGGCTGGACTACAGCAGTGCACTACAGATCCCTGTCAGCCACATGATTATGAAGATAGACAACCATACTTGATTATGTATTATGTTGCTAAGCTTTGATGGTCGATAGATTATGTATATTAAATGCATTTTTTAACTTACCATACTTTCAACTTAAAATATGTTTATTGGGATGTAACTCCATTGCTTGAAAAGCATCTGTATATGCCATGTTTTTGCCCAGGGAAGCTATGCTCAGCGCCCAAGGATTCTATTGGGGCTGGCAATGTGGTCATCCTTTGCCTAGAAATTTTCAAAATTTCAGACTACCAGAATACTGTGGGTATTCACTACAAATTACATGGTTTTTAAAGTTTAGTATTTTTATAGAATAGAAAGAACATTCCAAAAAGCCAAGTCCTCAGATGCAAGCCAAGGGCCAAAATTGTACGCAGGCCCTTCTGAAGATAGCAGCCCCAGGTTTGCCATATTAACTTTTCTGCACACTATTCCTTAAGTCTTCTGCCAGATATATGTGGTTGGAAACAGAAAAGTTCACATTTATCTCTTTGTGTACACAGCTAAAGAAAATGTGGTTGACCTTAATTTTCAGGGATGGTTACCATGAGAGTTTTACTAACAATTATCATTTTTAGATATCACTAATAATATTTTAGTAATAATTTTTGGTAGTGATAATTATTTTCTATTATCAATATGTTAAGTATTATTTCTATGTAATGTTCATGTTAATAATCCATTCAGTGATCCTTAACATTCTTTGATTTTAACCTGTCAAGATTATGAAAATTTAAGGATAATCTGTGTTTTGTTCCTTATTTCATTTTTCTTCTACTCTGTTATCTTCTTCAACAGGACAGACTTTCTGCAGCTTGAAGGAGCCGGCCATGGATTTCAGGCGTGTGAAGGAGTATTTCTCCTGGCTCTACTATCAATACCAAATCATTAGCTGCTGTGCTGTCTTGGAGCCCTGGGAGCGATCTATGTTCAATACCATCTTACTAACCATCTTTGCTATGGTGGTATACACTGCCTATGTCTTCATCCCAATCCACATTCGCCTGGCTTGGGAATTTTTCTCAAAAATATGTGGCTATCACAGTACAATTTCTAATTGATCTCTTTTGCATTCTGTGAAATGGCATTGCTCATTTATGTTGCTTATAACGTGTTGATTTAGGTGACTACTGTGTCATCTTTCACTCTCTGACCTGAAAAATCACTCTTCTCTATGCACTCTTGTGTCCTGCCTGGAGTTTGAGATGGATGTCTCTAGTTTCTTTTGCACATACTACATTGTGCATCAGGCCATAGAAAATATGATGCCTTTACCTCATATACCATGTTCACTCAATGCAAATCTATGACTTTGGAATTTGTTTTTAAATCAGGACAATTTCATATAAAATCTTCCTGGAAAATATGTTCATAAGAGATTTACCATAATCATACTTAAAATGATCCCTTAATACCTATCCTATGCTGAAAGATATATTACAAGAAAAAAACCTTCATAGGCTACTCTCAAAAGTATCCTATCCTTGTTTACAATGTATAAAAAGATGTGAATAAATTATATGGACTCCCTAAAGTTGTATTTTCTAGTAAACTGCTAATACCTGAAATTCTTTTACTTCAAATGCAAAAGAATAGGCTGGAGGCAATTATTTTCTTTCAGAATGGTTCATGAATTATTTCAAATGTCTCTAAAAGTCAGTTTGAAATCAACAATGTTGATTTTAAATAAACAAGTAAGTATTATAATACATAATCATATTAAGTGTAAGAAACAAAATATAATCAAAGTAAATTCAGATAATGCAGATATTAAGACTTTTGATGTCCCTTGTCTTGCATGATGCTGGGGAGTAAAGAGAAAAGAAATTATTTTCTTTTCTGTGCTTTCACTCACTGGAAGAAAAAAAAAAGGCATGTGTGGAGCTACAGGAAGAAAAGCTAATAAATAGGCTGGAAGTAATATTCCACCAGCAGGAACTCGACAGCTCCAGTTAAATGCTTTGATGTAGTGGCTCCTTTGTAGAGCAGAAACAAGATTTATTAAATTTCCTTCAAAAATGTGTATTTTAAAAGCAAATATAAGTTTTTAATTATATTGCTGAATCAAATGTTAATGCCAAAGACCAAGCCTTGCTGCTTTTCTTTCCTCCCAATAAATATTAATGTTAGTAATTCTGGAAGGTAAAAATGTAAATAGATTTTTGACAATATTTGCACCCTTGTTTGTGCTGGGAAAAAAAATTCCAAGGAAAGCTAAAAAGAAAGATGATTAGCATGCCAAATTAACTTGCATGTTAGTAAAAAAGCAAACACGTGTTTTAAAGAGAAATCATAACTGAATATGCATTTCTTGTTTTTTGCAAAATAAAATTAAGCTTAATTTTATAAGTAAACTGTCCACTGCAGATT